AGTTTAGCTACCTCAATCAAGGCAGTGCGCCGGTGATTGAAGGTATGGACGACGTGGCCGAGTTCAAGGCTACGAAACAATCCTTGACCAAGATCGGTGTGCCTGCCGAGACTCAAGCTGGCATCTGGCGCCTGCTAGCAGCCCTGCTGCACATGGGAGACATCAAGATCACAGCAACTCGAACAGACTCAAATCTTGCGCCAGATGAGCCTTCTCTCGTCACGGCTTGTTCACTGCTAGGAATAGATCCCAACACCTTCTCCAAGTGGATTGTAAAGAAGCAGCTCATCACCAGAGGAGAAAAGATTGTTTCCAACTTGACACAGCAACAGGCTATTGTAGTACGAGATTCCGTTGCCAAGTTCATTTATTCCAGTCTGTTCGACTGGCTGGTTGAGCGAACAAACGAGAGTCTGGCCACCGAGGAGGTTATTTCGCAAGCCCACACCTTCATTGGTGTCCTTGATATTTACGGTTTCGAGCATTTCGCAAAGAACTCTTTCGAGCAGTTCTGTATTAACTATGCTAATGAGAAGTTGCAACAAGAATTCAACGCACACGTTTTCAAGCTGGAGCAGGAGGAGTATATGCGCGAACAGATCGACTGGACTTTCATCGACTTCGCCGACAATCAGCCATGTATCGACCTCATCGAAGGCAAGCTGGGTATCCTGTCTCTACTAGATGAAGAGTCACGTCTGCCTATGGGTTCGGACGAGCAATTTGTCACTAAGCTGCACCACAACTACTCTGGAGATAAGCACAAGTTCTACAAGAAGCCCCGGTTCGGCAAGTCCTCTTTCACAGTATGCCACTACGCCATCGACGTCACATACGAATCCGATGGTTTCATCGAGAAGAACAGAGATACTGTGCCCGACGAGCACATGGAGGTTCTCAAGGCTGCAAGCAACAAGTTCTTGACCCAGGTTTTGGATACTGCTGCTTCGATCCGAGAGAAGGAGACCGCTACCAATGCCTCTTCCAAGCCGGGCACTGCCATGTCGGCTGGACGAAGGATGGCGACCAACCGCAAGCCAACGCTTGGTGGCATCTTCAAGTCTTCCCTTATCGAACTCATGCAGACTATCAACTCGACCGATGTCCACTACATTAGATGTATCAAGCCCAACGAGGCCAAGGCGGCCTGGCAATTCGACGGACCTATGGTTCTTGGTCAACTGCGTGCCTGTGGTGTTCTCGAAACAGTCAGAATCAGTTGCGCGGGTTACCCCACACGATGGACCTATGAAGAATTCGCCCTCCGTTACTACATGTTGGTCAGGTCCTCCGACTGGACGCCAGAGATCCGAAACATGGCTACCGCGATTTTGAAGAAAGCCTTAGGTGCCGGCAAGAACGATGGCACCGACAAGTACCAGATGGGTTTAACAAAGATCTTCTTCCGCGCTGGTATGCTTGCGTTCCTCGAGAACCTACGCACAGCCCGTCTCAATGATGCGGCTATCATGATCCAGAAGAACCTCCGAGCCAAATACTACCGCCGTATCTACCTCGAGATGCGTGAGGCTGTCATTCTCGTGCAATCGTTGGCTAGGGGCTACATGACTAGGGAACAGGCTGAGGAGGCTAGGCAGGTCAAGGCCGCTACTACCATTCAGAGGGTTTGGCGTGGTAGCAAAGATCGCAAGCGCTTCCTTGTTGTCCGAAACTCGCTCATCAAGTTCGAGGCTGCCGCAAAGGGATTCCTTCTCCGCAAGAACATGCTGGACAAGAGGCTTGGAGATGCTGCTCGTATGATCCAACGCAACTGGCGCAAACAACGATACATCCGCGCGTACAAGAAGGAGATCAACGACATCATCACTGTCCAGAAGCTCTGGAGAGGAAGGAAGGCCCGCAGGGAATACAAGGTCCTTCGCGCCGAATCCCGCGATCTCAAGAACATTTCTTACAAGCTGGAGAACAAGGTCGTGGAGCTTACCCAGAACCTCGGTACGATGAGGGAGCAAAACAAGTCGCTCAAGTCGCAGGTGGAGAACTACGAGAGCCAGATCAAATCGTACAAGGAGCGCAGCCGTACCCTCGAAAACCGTCAGAAGGAGCTTCAAGCCGAAGCCAACCAGGCTGGTATCACCGCTGCCAAGCTCAGCCAGATGGAAGACGAATACAAGAAGCTGCAGACAAGCTACGAAGAAAGCACTGCAAAGATGCGACATCTTCAGGAAGAGGAGAAGGAACTCCGTGCGTCGCTTAAGAGGACCACAGACGACCTCGAACAATCTAAGAGGAGGAGCAACGTTACCGAGACCGAAAAGATGACGCTCCGTCAACAGCTCGCTGAGTTGCAAGAGCAGGTCGAACTAATGAAGCGATCTGGCCCCATCGCCGACCTGACCAACGGTCACTCCACCTCTGTAGCCCCCAGCAGCTTGATCAAGCTCGTCTCGTCGAAGAAGCCAAAGAGGCGCAGTGCCGGACCGGATACGCGCGATATCAACCGCTTCAGCGAACAGTACAACCCACGGCCTGTCTCGATGGCTCCTGGTTCCACTATCCACAGGCAGAACCTTTCTGGTTCAACCTTTGCTCAGCTTGATAATGTCGAGCTTGAGCTTGAGAACATCCTTGCTGAGGAGGATATGTTGAACGATGAGGTCACCCTTGGCCTGATCAAGAACCTCAAGATTCCATCGCCCACAACCACACCGCCACCTACCGACAAGGAGGTCCTCTTCCCTGCGTATCTCATCAACCTTGTCACCTCAGAGATGTGGAACAACGGCTTCGTCAAGGAGTCGGAGCGTTTCCTCGCAAACGTCATGCAATCGATTCAACAAGAGGTCATGCAACACGATGCGGAAGATGCAATTAACCCAGGTGCTTTCTGGTTGTCAAACGTACACGAGATGCTATCGTTCGTCTTCCTTGCTGAAGACTGGTACGAGCAACAAAAGACCGACAACTACGAGTACGACCGATTATTGGAGATTGTCAAGCATGATCTCGAGAGTCTTGAGTTCAACATCTACCACACCTGGATGAAGGTCCTGAAGAAGAAGTTGCACAAGATGATCATCCCCGCTATCATCGAATCGCAATCGCTGCCTGGTTTCGTCACCAATGAGAGCAACCGTTTCCTCGGAAAGCTGCTTCAGGGCAGCAACACCCCTGCCTACAGCATGGACAACCTACTCACTCTACTCAACAGCGTCTACAAGGCAATGAAGGCTTACTACCTGGAAGATTCCATCATCACACAGTGTGTTACTGAGTTGTTGAGGTTAGTGGGTGTTACTGCTTTCAACGACTTGCTCATGCGCCGCAACTTCCTTTCATGGAAGCGAGGCCTGCAGATCAACTACAACATCACTCGTATCGAAGAGTGGTGCAAATCGCATGACATGCCCGAGGGCACTCTGCAGCTTGAGCATCTGATGCAAGCTACCAAGCTGCTCCAGCTGAAGAAGGCTACCTTGAACGACATTGAGATTATTCAGGACATTTGCTGGATGTTGAGCCCGAACCAGATCCAGAAGCTGTTGAACCAATACCTGGTAGCCGACTACGAGCAGCCCATCAATGGCGAGATCATGAAGGCTGTCGCATCGCGCGTGACAGAGAAGAGCGACGTCCTGTTGCTCACAGCAGTCGACATGGAGGACAGTGGTCCATACGAGATTGCGGAACCGCGAGTCATCACAGCACTTGAGACATACACGCCTTCTTGTAAGTACTCCCTTTCGGCGATCTATCATTCAATCGAAACACGACTAACATGCACGATAGGGCTGCAAACACCCCGCCTCAAGCGCCTCGCCGAAATCGTCTCTCAACAAGCCATCGCGCAACAAGAGAAGCTCGAGTTCGACGACGACATGCCCAATGGCCAGAGCAATGGCGATGCCATGAATGCCCTGACCGGCGGAATGGGTATCAACGGCGGCGGCATGAATGGACACGGTACGATTGAAGAAGGTATTGAGGCATGAACTTTAGCATCTTTGTAAGCGAGCGAAAGCGAAAGATTTGGTATTAGACATGAAACGACACGAGACGAGATGAAGGAAATAAGCGCCGCAGATGAACCCAATATTCGTAGTTGTAGTAGCAGCTTTTTCTTCTGTGTCTGTCTAGTCGCTGGACTTCTGGGAGGGATGGAAGATGTGCTTCAAACTACTACACGTTTGTTCTTTCTGCAATTGCGGAAGAAGGGGGGATCAAAGGCGTACGACGAATGATGATGTTGGGTATTTAATGCTGGGTGTTTTTTTTCTTTCCTGGGAATGTTATATCTCTTCAAACTTCTCTTTTGTGTATGTGTTGTGTTGTGTTGTTCGCTGTGCGCGGTTGTGATGTTGTCCTTCTGTCGATGTGACAAAGAAGTGGGCTGGACGTTGGAAGCACACCTAGAATCGTGTGCGATGATGGCGTCTAGTGCACCCACCCGGTCGGATTGGTGTATCGTGGCTCTGGACAAGCTTTTCCTTCCTCAATCGTAGCTACAACGAAAAGGTAATCTAGAGGTATTCACTTTGAGATCCATTACATCCATACACTATTGAAGCTCAGTACATACCTATACAGCAAGATGGTCAAAGAATGCGAGAGAAACAGTATTGGAAAGGAATTTTTCTGTTCGATCTATTTGTTGTCTATGGAAAGCGAAAGCACAAAGGAGATGGCGACATCGTTGAGAAGCATTTACTTCGTGTTGGGTAGATTGAGGGTATGCAGAGAGCAGAAGGGTCGGGGCAGGAAGAACACAGAAGGATCGGGCTGCATGAGGGTAGAAGTATACTTGAGCAGTAAGCAACGCGGGAAGCAAGATAAAGCAAGAAAGAGGAAAGCGCGACAAGTAAAGCAATGGACAAGAGACACCGGGAACAGGACGGCACCAGTCAATAACGCTGAGAGTGGGAAAGGGGACGATGGATGTGGAGGTACTGATGGCATTGATTTGATTACAGTAGGCTGTTGTGGCTGGCGGAGAGGTCGATCCGGTTGTCAGCCGTGGCAGCATGTTCGTTTGGGATCTCTCATCTGTTGAACTTGAACGAGATGGTACTCTTCTTGGATTTGAGGGGTCGACCACCTTCCGCTTTCGGCCTACTAGAGCGGGGCCTATTAAGCTCGTTTTGCTCGTCATCAAAGTGTGTACATTGGCATGCGGCAAGTGCCTCGGCGCATTGTTGGTCCCACCTGCATTGATTTTCCCAGCTGTAGTTGCGAAGATGTGATATGGCTGCAGCGTCCGTTGTCTTCATGTGCGCTGACAGCACGATGTATTGGAAGTTAGATTGACATCGGTAACAACATTGTGTCGGAACCATCGACCTGTCGATGGATAGGCCCTTGCAGTTAATGCGCGCTACTAGTCTCTGGTGAGCAGGGTCCTCTCTCAACGTCGCAATGACTTGTCGTCGAACAAACAGCTTTTGGTTCCGGTCTTCTTCTTCTGTAGGGGCACCCATCAGCTCCCTCTCCAGCTCACGTTGGCGGTCATTAGCCTGGTTCACCTGGCTAACCCAATTCTTCCCCATACCTTGTTCTCTCACTGCTTTGTAGAACTCATCGGCCCACTTCCATTTCACCTTTGAGAGGACTCCCGTGTGCGGTGTAGAGCCTCCCACAATCCACTTGGCGACCCCTTCACTATACTCATGCTGACAGATGAAGAACATTGAGGGTTCTGCGGCGCTTTGATGGTCAATACTTTGCGTGAAGTAGTTCGTCCAGTAGCGTGAGGCTTTAGGTAGAAGAAAACGACCCAAATGAATTGAAAGGCTATTTCTGACGTCCGTTTCCGTGGCCCAATTCTCCATCATCTCTCGGGTCTTGGCGGTAGGTGGGCCATGCTCGTGCTGAAGGGCGATTTCTAGTAAAAGCTCCTGGTTCGATCGTGTTGGAATAGCCTTTTTTTCGCGGAGTACATCAAGCTTGTCCAGGGGCCACTGCGACTTGGTCTTCGTGTATCCGATCAGCCGGTAATGACGCTCGATTTCCATCTGAGCCGCATCGTACGTCCTTATTGTAGATCTCAATGCATCTTCCCATGTTTGGCCCATGTGCATCTCAGGGGTTTCGTACTCAAAATGGCCGACTTCTTCGCTGATGAGCCTGTTTACTTGTTGCTGACGGGCTTTGATCTTATCTTCCTCTTCCAAAAACAAAGCTGCCTCTCTCTTCTTCATGTCGGCCTTCTCTTCCTCAGTTTGGATTCGTTTAGGCTCAGGTGAGGTCTTGGTAACTTTCTCTGCATCTTCCTTCTCTTCCTCATCTTGTGCCTGTTTCCATTTTGGTATGGCGATTGGCTTAGCAATTGGAGACTCGATCTGTCGTTTCCTTGCTGGCATAAGCCATTGGTGAACATTTTGCAAGCCAAAATCCTAAAATAATCGTCAGCTTCTGGTCAGCCTTTTTGACTGACAAGGAGAGCCTACCATCCCCATGAGCTCAGGACAATTCTTGTTTATATGCTCTCGAATTGCCAGAAGAGGTTCATAGCAGATGATTCGAAGCTGAATCAGATTAGACATGAAGAACTGCATAGCGAGATCTGTTTTCCCTGGGGGCCAGTGTTCAGGCTTCATTTGTGAACATGTCCAACGGATCTGATCTGCGATGGCGGCAATCGCTTCGATTCTTTTCTTGTGTTGGTTTATCATCGGCTGAGGAAGTTTAGCCTTCTCCAGTGTTGTTGAGAAGTCAGGCCAATTCTGTTCCTCAGCATATTTAAGTGGCTTTCGACTATGTGACGGCGTGGGGATGGGAGCCATATTTTGCGTTTGTGATGAGACTCAGCAATAGATCCAAGGTATTCAAGTGCGGTTGAGAGAGGATAGCCACTGAACACGATGATGATGATAGATGATGATGGATGATGGGGGATGATGAAAGAAGAAGTTGTGTAGGTCGATCTCAGACCTATAAGTATATTCATAGAGATTTGCTTGCTCTCAAACATTAATAATCCTATATGTGTATCCGTGACAATCTCTAACAATATGCACGGTCAGATGATTTGATAGACAAAGGTGCTGACTATCAGACTCAACATCCTCCGCGATCTGTATGCTACCTCCACCACCCTGTATGGTTCCATGGACAGATCCTGTTCACAGATACCATCTAGAGGCAGGCAACTATCTTTTTACTAATTGACAAACACAATCATGAGCTGTCTGAGGATAGTCGCGACTCTTGAACAAATGCGAACTCAGATCTTCGTGGTCTTCAAGGATGATGGGGGCTTAACTTAGTGGTTAGCGCAACGCTTTTTGCTTCTGACAACTGATTTTTGATGTGTCTACTGCCCCATCCAAGGGAAAGACTGAACAGGTATAGAGATAACAAGGCCTACCTTACAGCTTACATTAGCCCTTAGTAAGAAGATTTGCAAAGATCAACAGTATTATAGACTTTAGGATTCTCTATTGATGTCTAAATAACTCTAAATTAGCTCTATTATATCAGGAAGAAGTACACTACTCTACAGAGCTGTTTAGTTTCTCTCTTTTTTGTGGTGTACTGTGGGTCAACGACATGGCGTTGGGGGCGCCTGGCTGACTCGGACCATGATTTTGATGGCTGCTGTACCGACAATTGACTCCGGGGCGGTGATTTTGAGAGACTTGCGGCTGATTGCTTGCCTACAGGATCCGCGGTCTTCCTCATGGTCAGCGTTACCCGATACCAAACAGGCTCCTTGAAAGTGTGGAGGCGGAGATTTTAGTGTTCCGGAAGTGTCTTACAATTCGTTTGTGTCCAACTCTTACATCTCCAGATTGATTGGACGGTGGCCAAACTGCAGCTGTGGTTACATGGTTGTCGGAACACGGCTCCCTGAGGCCACTAGTGGCAAACCTTGGTACGCAAGCCAGCCTAACTTCAAACTTGCTGTAGATACCTACCAAGTCCTTAGCTTTAGCGATTTGGTTACATTTGGTCCACGTCTTTGGTACAAGCACAGCTTATTGTCTGGTCTACATTTCTGGATGGGTGAACACATAATTACCTAGGTAAGTTTCGCTCTCATTACCGAGTCTACCAAGCAAATCAAGAACACGGAAATGCAATTTTGCTTTCGTGATTCGAATCAAACTTCACGTGCTCGATGCGTGAAAAGTTGGTGCTTTCCTAGCCAGTTTGTTCTAACGTCGCAATCACGCGCGAGCTGAATTGATTGTCTTGGTCATTCAGGTGAGAGCCCTAGTGAACGTGAGCGTGGCGCACCTGGACGTGCTTCCAAACAACATGACTGATACCGTCTATTAAGGGCGGAGCCTTCACCTCCGAACCATTTGTCAGCGCTCCGTGGTTCATATTACCCTATCTCCCCACTCAACACAAACACGACCGCAACTGTATCCGCTCACTGAACAGTGTTCATAAAGCACCCTCACATTTCACGTCTCCTCCGATTGTACACACCATGACATCGACACACGCGACAAAAGCCGAGAAAATTCGAGAGGAGCTTGGGAGACAGTACAAAGACAAGGACTTCAGATTCCCCACTGGATACACTGCCGCTGAAGCCGCCGATTTTCTCGATATCCGAAAGAGAATGTTCGAGAAGCGAATGAGACTCCGATCCGACGACCGTGACCAGGCCATCTCACCTGACGACGTATACGCGAACGAAGTCGATCTCCTCGAAGATGCACTACCAACAGCTGAGGGCCAAGAGAAGTTCTGGTTGTGGGTACACGAAAATGATCGCAAGATCCGCACGATGCCTGAAGCTGGGGCAGTTCAGGACTACTTCAAAGCTCTCGCTCAAACTGATTACTCAGACAAGGTTTCTCTAAGGGAACTGTTCACAGTACTAAATACATACGTTTACCCATACATACCCGCGGGATCCTACAACGGTTATCGCTATCGCATCGTCCCATCGCTCACCCCACTGGCCCCTGATGAGGAGCTGGTCGACTGGGACGACCCACGTGAAGTTGCCACCGATCCGATTGTAGCTATCGACCTAGCAGGACAGATAATCCACTCTTCAGACGGGGTTGAGGACCGCAACCGAAGGAGGCGTGCTGACATCTCAGAGGAATCGTATTTCAGTGGCTCCAGCAACAACAGCACCATCCTAGGTAACAGTATTACTGGATTCGTATGCTTTCAAGTTGGAGAGCTTCGTGCAGCCGAGGAGGAGAATTGGTCAGATAACGGCAACCTACCCAAGGGACAGGACGTCAGCAAGATTCTATGGGAGCGCACAGACTGGGTCTTGGTCTTGGTCATCAGTGCTGAGAGTACTGCCGGTGCTGTTTGGCTGCTACAGAATTTCAATCCAACAGTCGAGCACACATCCGATCAGTACACGATCATCCCAGGAGATCCAGAGAACCTTTATGGGTGGGGTTACTTCCAGGGCGAGCGACAGTTGAATCCGGTGCCGATACAACGTGGTGGCGTGAAGATCGCGCACAAGATCACTGATCTCACCGAGACTAGTGAGTGGACCATGGATGAGTACATTACAGGAAAGTACGAGATAGTGCAAGCAGTACTCGCGGACCGTGTTGAGGGCAAGTCGCCTGTCATTGTCAGGCAGCTGCCAAGATTCGAGTCCCAGGATGATTCGTCTCCAGACGTCTCGAGGCTCCGCATTGAGGATGATTAGGAATGGAGGGACGAAGGGTGATGCTAGTGTACCTAGGTATGTTAGAGAAGTCGGCCGGTAGCATGTTCGTACATGTTTTGATCTCCGGATACGTACCAGTACATAGCGATGGTTGCAGGGTTTTCCTTTTATCATAGATCTCCTTTTGTTTATGGGTCAGATGGTTTGGTTTCTCGCGAAGGGTAGGACATCAAGCAATATGTTTTTAACCATGGAGTAATGCTGTGATGTGAGGAAATCTGACTCGTGTAGACTGTGTTCATAACGACCAGGACTTTGACATGACCTACCACCAAAGAAAAAAAGGCAAAAGCAAGCAAAGGAAGCCAAAGCCACGAACCGCAAGAACAGCTCCATGACCGTCGGCCCAATCTGCGCCGAACCACGCGTTCGGGGTGCGCCACACGGCCCGCTCAATCTAGCGCGCTAACTATACTTGGCCGCCGTTTGGCCCTTCCAACGATCCCGACATCCGTAATCATCTCGACAAGCGACACGGCCAAGCCATGGAGCTGACGACAACGTTTCCTCTCCTTTGCGATCCTCTCCTCACGATCCTCCAAACTAGACTCCTAGAAAAGCAGAGAGACAAATACCAACTTTCTTTCGCTCCCTCGATATACCTTTCTTATTGCTTTTCCCTTATCTCATACGTTGTTGCATTGAGCGCGCATTATTCTAGTTGACTGATTACCTCGGACCCTGCATATCGCGAACGTAATACGAAACCTGAACCACACGATCCGGCTTACCCCAATGCGCCCTTCCACGTTTGCCTAAACTACGAGAAAGATTCTGAGAGAAAGCGCACGCGACTGCATCCGCATTGCCGTCAAGGTGTTAGGGAAAGATGCCGTCTGTTGCGCAATGGCAGGGGACGCCTTCAGTCAAGGGCTCAACTGAGAGCATACGCATGGCGTTGCTCACAGCGTCGCTCATAGGCTTGCAGTGAATACGATCCTGGCCCAAGAAGTCTACATGTGTCATGTACTAAGCAACATGCAGGTTCACGTGGAATGTCGAAATGACATATTGCACACCCTACCTCCTCGAACTCGGTCTTACGAAATCGAAAATCTCCCTTGTTTGGGTCGCCGGTCCACTGTCAGGCCTCATTATGCAGCCCATTGTCGGCGTCGTCGCAGATCGTTCTACCTCGCGATGGGGCCGTCGAAGACCCTTTATGTTCTTTGGGACGATACTGGTGGCCATGTTCTTACTGCTGCTAGGCTGGACAAAAGAGGTGGTTCGGTATTTTATAAAGGACGAGGTTGCGGCTAAGAGCGCGACGATATACGTTGCTGTGTTTAGTATCTATGGGATTGATTTCGCCATAAATGCTGTGCAGGGAAGTTGCAGAGGCTTGGTAGTCGATACTTTGCCTATTTCGAAACAACAGATGGGCAGTAGTTGGGCGAGCAGGATGGTTGCGGTTGGGAGTTTGATAGGGTATGGCGCAGGAGCAATTGATCTGAGGAGTGTGTTTGGGCCCATGTTGGGAGACACGCAGTTCAAGCAGTTGACGGGCGTTGCAGCTTTGACGCTGTGCTTGGCCATTGGGACGACAAGCTGGGCGGTTACTGAAAGAGTGCTTATTAATGACGGAGCTGAAGAGGGCAAGGAGCTGGATCTCAAGCAAGTTCTCGGTACCATCGCGCATACTGCTTTGAACCTGCCCCGAAGTATCCAAGCCATCTGCACAGTTCAATTCTGGGCTTGGATTGGTACGTTGTTGATGTGCTGTTTGTGCGGATTACGTACTAATGATTGGCCAGGCTGGTTTCCTTTCCTCTTCTACAGCACGACTTGGGTTGGCGAGGTATACCTACGGTATGACGCGCCAGCTGAGGTCAAGGCAGCAGGTGATCTTACGGGCAAGGTTGGTCGCATTGGCTCCATGGCCCTCATCGCCTTTTCCATTATCACATTCGTAATGTCTGTTCTCCTGCCTTTCTTTGTACAAAGTCCTGAAGACGATGAAAAGGGCCCTGGCTTCTCCCATCCGCCTAAGCGGTTGACTGGGCTGGCCAAATATAAGCCAAGCCTACTCACAGCATGGACAACTGCGCATTGTATTTTCGCAGGAAGCATGGTCATGGCGCCTTTCGTGAGAAGTCTGAGACATGCGACTATCATCATCGCTTGCTGTGGCGTGTAAGTGACCACCGTGAACCCCTCCTCCACGGAGCTCGACTGATGCAACACAGATCATGGTCCGTAGCCTGCTGGGCTCCCTTTGCGTTTCTCGGCGTAGAGATCAACCGCCTCAACACATCGTCGTCGCACTCGACACACCCAAAGCGCTCCTCCATCGACCTTCCTGAAGCGCAATCCAACCTCGAAAAGGGTGCTGCATCTTCCTCTAGCGGCGGAGCAAGCTCAGGCCAATACCTCGGCATTATGAACCTATATACGACGCTACCACAATTCATGGGCACAGGGATATCGTGGGTAGTATTTTCCATCTTGGAGCCCGGAAAGAGTCCCGAGTTGAGTGAGGCGCCGCCCGAAGAACATCATAGCACGGATGGGCCGAATGCAATTGCAGTTTGCTTGTTCATTGGGGCCTGTTCGGCGTGTATGGCGGTTGTTGCTACGAGGAGGTTGGGAAGAATACAGGGAAGGCTGTAGATGGGAAGACGTGGATGCCTGAATAGCCTAAGAAAAAAAGTCCAAACCACCATCGTCATGTCCATGTCAAGACTTTTTCAAGTTCTCTCATCAGTTGGTGGTGTCCCGCTCCTGCCGGTCGGCAATTGTGAGTTGTGGGTATTGTTTGGAAGAATTGAAGTTCTCTCGTCACGACGCTTGTCACTGGGAATAGGGTTCTTGCACATGCCGCTAACGGGCAGTAGAGAACATGACTCTTGGTGACACCCACCCCCAACATGCTCACATCCGTGGTTGCCATTGGCGCCTTGCGGGTTCGGGTTTAGGGTGGTGCCATGGGCCAGAGAGATTTTGCTAAGGGTTTGCTAAGGATTTTGCAGAGACCCGCTTTGTTCTAGAAGGCAGGTGTGGCTACTGATCGAAGCTGACGCTGATCGGGTGTGTAGAGAGATCGCAAAGAGTACCTAGGTAGGATGTGTGCATGGTGCTGCTTAGTGCATCCGTGTCAAGCTCCGAGTCGACTCACGATGGTGACAATGTGCAGTCGGGGCGTGTCCGGGCGTGGGATTGGACAGAGTGGAAAATCCATGCTCTCCCGTCTCCGAGTACCCTCTCCGAGTACCCTCTCCAAGTACCGGCGGCCAAGGTCGGCCGTGGTGCCAGTGCAGGGCAGGGCAGTCGACGTGGTAGACTACTGCGCGCACAAGCAAGTGAGGTATCGCCGCCAGATAAACTTGAATCGCTCGTTTGCTGGATGTCGGAGAGATGCAAGCAAGGGCACACGTGCCATGTCGCTGCGAAAAGACGGTCAAGGTACAAAAACCACCTCGCCCGCCGCTCTGGCTTGATTGTATCCGCCTCCATCCAACGGGCAGTGTCTATCGTCTGGTCGCGCAGTCCCAGTGTGTTGCTGTTTGCCAGCCTACGGTTGCATTTTCCACTAGCCTGCAACTAGCCATAGAGAGGGGCGAAAACAACCTTGCGTAGCGCCTGTCCTTCTCGCTCAACCCGCCGAACAATTCTGCGGCTCACCCACAACATCCACCTTTCGCCCAACAATCTCGCCACAGCCAGACCGACATCACTCATTCGCCAAGATGTCTGAGCCGATCCGCAATAAGAAGATGGATTCCATATCCGCCCCGTAAGTCGCTTCCCAACCCTCCGCCACACAATTTTGTCTCTCCAAAACACCACCACAACAACCCCCCCCATCATGGACGTACCGCATTCTAACGTGCGCCCTGCCAGCACCCCCCAGAACACACCCGCAAATGCTGCCCCGATATCGTCGCGCGCTCAGCAGCCCGGCGTGGGCACCATCAAGGAAGGTATGTCGCAAATTCCCTGCCCCTCCAACCCCGCCTTGTATCGTCGTCAAGTCCTTGACCGCTAACTCGATTTTTCGCACAGAGGAACTAGAGCGCACCGCCGCCGGCCTGTTCGCTGCCAACCCCGCCCTCGTCGCCATGATGCAGAACAAGCTCGGCTCGCTCGTCGGCCGCTCAAGCGGCTACATTGAGTCGCTCCCAGCCTCGGTCCGCCGCCGTGTTGCCGGCCTCAAGGGCGTCCAGAAGGAGCACTCCAAGCTCGAGGCTGAGTTCCAAGAGGAGGTCCTACAGCTGGAGAAGAAGTACTTCGCCAAGTTCACACCGCTATACCAGACCCGTGCCAAGATCGTCAACGGCAACGAGGAGCCCTCAGAAGACCAGGTCAAGGTCGGCGAGCAGCAAGATGAGGATGACGAGGACGAGGACCAGCCCGAGCCTGAGCTCAACAAGGACGAGGGCAAGGATGTCAAGGGTATTCCAGAGTTCTGGCTCAGCGCCATGAAGAACCAGATCTCGCTCGCCGAGATGATCACAGACCGCGACGAGGCTGCTCTGAAGCACCTGACCGACATCCGCATGGAGTACCTCGACCGCCCCGGTTTCCGCCTCATCTTCGAATTCGAGGACAACGAATTCTTCACCAACAAGACCATCACCAAGACCTACTTCTACCAGGAGGAGAACGGCTACGGAGGTGACTTCATCTATGACCACGCCGAGGGCGACAAGGTCGACTGGAAGGCAGGCAAGGACCTGACTGTCCGCATCGAGAGCAAGAAGCAGAGGAACAAGAGTGAGTTTTCAATCGCCGTCACGAGGTGATAGCAGACTAACAGCTTTCAGACACCAAGCAGACCCGCGTCGTTAAGAAGACCGTGCCTACAGAGTCGTTCTTCAACTTCTTCGACCCGCCCAAGCCCCCACAAGACGATGATGATGCCACCTCTGATATTGAGGAGCGTCTCGAACTCGACTACCAGCTCGGTGAGGATATCAAGGAGAAGCTCATCCCCCGCGCCATTGACTGGTTCACCGGCGAGGCCCTTCAATACGAGAACATTGAGGACTTTGACGAGGGCGAGTTTGAGGACGAAGACGATGAGGACGAGGATGAGCTCAGCGATGACCGCGACGAGGAGGAGGAATCAGATGACGAGGTAAGCAGTTATAGTCGCTGTTTGAATAAACACCAACTAACACGATTGTAGAACGACGGCACAAAACCAAAGCAGGAGGCTGCTGAGTGCAAGCAGAGCTAAATGCTCGACGAAAAGTAATCTCGCATTCCCAAGATCACAATATCCCCAGGTCGTTCTAAGCGGCATGTGCAGTTCAAGCTAGCCTCCTAGCCGCCTTCTGTCACACTGAGATGTCTTTTTGAAACGACTCTCCACGTCCGATATTTCACTTCACGATTTCTTACTCGGCGTAATACTGCATCAAAAGAGTTCGGGGGTGTTCGTTCGGCAATGGTTGGTTGGAGCTTCCTCTGGACTAGATATCTTAAGAACTACTCAGTTCTCTACCCTCCCCCACCACTTCTTCTCACCCCTCCAGACATCTGCTCGAACAGGTTCCTGGGCTCTTACAACCACCAATCGCTAGCATCTACGGCGTTGTCTAGGTGGGGTTTTGCAGCATGTTTTCCTTGGGTTCAGGGATGTTTATGTTGACGAGGTATTTTAGACGGCGTAGGTAGTCTTGAGCGCATGTTACGGGTCAATGAAAAGAAAAGTTTGAAGCCTCACTTTTGGTAGGAGCCAGTATAATTTGCTCATGCTGTTGATGCATGTTGATCTGCCTCGGCAGGAGTGTGTGATAACACTCGCCTCATTCCGGATACCCAACCAACTATCAATGCGTTCTAGAAGGATGTTACACATGCTGTGCTTACATAGGTATCCTTGCACCCGCCGTCACACTTCAGATGTTGTGCATTTGCTTTGTCTTGGGGGCCATGTCAGGATGAGTAGTGCGGGGTAGTGGGGGTTGTGCCGGGTGAAGTTCGGGCGCTCGAAAAATAATTCTGGAATGCGATCAGCAGCAGACGCGACTGAGCACCTGAACGCTACACAATACTCTACCATCCTCACCCCGCAAAGTACTACCACAATTACCCTGCAGGATATACCTGTATTTGGCAATAGATTTCAATCGCAAGGCACATACAAATAACGACTTGTGAAAGCCTACAACTCCCAACAGCCTGCCAACTACGCGACCGAGACCGATCACGACTTTGCGACGAGAGACGACGAGGAAATGGCGCGCCAGAACCCAAACATTGTCATCACGGGTACACCCGGAGTAGGAAAGACAACACACGCTGAGCAATTAGCGCAAGCAACAGGATTCAAGCACGTCTCCGTGAATCAGATTGTCAAAGACGAGGGCTTCCATGAGGGCAAAGATGAGGAGACAGGGAGTTGGATTGTAGACGAAGACAAAGTATGTAACATCCTCATAACAATCACGGTTCCCCGGGCTAATGTGTGTTTCATCCAGCTACTCGACCACCTGGAATCCCTCCCCCTAGCCAGCACAGGCGGCTATATCCTCGACTGGCACGCGTGCGACCTGTTCCCCGAACGCTGGATCGACCTCGTCATCGTGCTGCGCTGCGACAGCACACTTTTATACGATCGTCTCACCGCACGGGGCTACAAGGGGAAGAAGTTGGAGGAGAATATGGATAGTGAAATCATGCAGGTTCTGCTTGATGAGGCGAGGGAGAGCTATAAAGAAGAGATTGTGGTGGAGCTGAGGAGTGAGAGTAACGAGGACGTCGAGGGCAACTTGGAGCGGGTGGAGCAATGGATTGAGCAGTGGAGGAAAGACAGGCAGAATGCGGAAGGGGAAGAGTAGGTCGAGTTGGAAATATCTAGAGGGAGAGAGGAAAAAGGTACGACGTGATACGATGGCATGTGTTATGATACCAAGACGATGTTTTTTTCTTAAAAGAGTTCTGGTGAGGTTGACTATCACTTCAACCCTGTTCTTGTGCTCTAGGCGCTACAGCAAATCAGAATGCTCTTCTACGCCTCAGTTTTCTTGCTCGCCAGCCACTCCTTCAACTTGTCCAATGCCTTAGCCCGATGGCTAATCTTATTCTTCTCGCTCTTTTCCATCTCAGCATATGTCTGGCCTTCGTACTCAAAGCACGAGTCCCAACCTTTACATCGTCAGCTCCTCGTACTCCTTCTCAAACCCTCCCACACTTTCGACACAATACTGAAAAGATCTGCCACTTACCGAAAACAGTTGGACCCCGGCTTTCTACCAACTTGCCATCTGTGCGTCCTTGGAAGAGAATCGCTTCGTGGCCTGGTCCCTCGCAGTATCCGAATGTGCATACGGCTTGGGCGGATTTGTCGTCAAAGCCGGAGAGCATTTTGTGGAGGTTGGGGGCGCCAAGGGAGAGCATGAACCATTTACTGGCGGATCAGGGGTGTTAGAGAGGCGGCTATTCAAGGGAAATTATTGGGGAGGAGTTGAGAGGATGTGCCAATGGAACACATGGGATAGAAGATAGGGAAAGGAAGAAGAGGAGGGATTTGAAGAGAAGGACGACATACATATACGGTCCCGGAAGATCGTTCATAGCTTTGAAGCAGAGACATGTGTCTTCTACTAGGACAGGGCCTTGAATCTGAACGATGGGTCCGTTAGCAACCAACAAAATCCTAAATGTACAACTCCTGATTTCGCTTCATGAGAATTCTGTGTTCCCATACCAAAGCACGAAGTGGGTTAGATTGTTGTTTTACTTACCGCTTCGGCTGCTCTCCGTGCCTTGTCTTTTGTGACTTCTTCAACGGTGCCTTGGATCTCGACTAGATCGACGTTTTGATTCCGCAGCTCGATGACACCGGAAAGAATTGCTTGGACTTCGGCGAGCTTATTCTTGTTGCCCGTTATGAAGTTTAAGACCGTGGGAATGCTTGAGGGTGACATTATGAGTGTACTTGAGAGCGTAGCTCCGGAATTTTTGATTGTTCGTCTTGATGGATCTTGATGCTATGAGGATCGTTAGTTGGGATTTATATGATTTGTTAAGCTGCTGAGTGGGATTGATGTTTTCATGTTGGGAAGGGCGCAATGAGAATGATAGCGGTCTGAATGACAGTCTCGGTTGACAAAGGGCGCTTGACATCACAGACTGGTGTACCGCGAGGGCTGAAAGCACGTACTTTTTAGGGTTGATAGCTTAGTACTCTTCTAATACCACAATGTGCAATGTCTCCGTCTCACAGTATCGCGATAGGGCTGAGGGGTCTATGTTTAGGCCCTTTCATAAGCGAGCTGAGCAGGGATCCATCTCCTAGCGTGCATTGAATGTTACCGTGGCCTACAAAACATCACTTTCAGCCGCATCAAATCACACCCTGCAAGGTTCTTGAATCCTTCATAACGGTTTTAACCGTTCTTACCGACTGGTCGCAGCTCCAAACCCCCGAGCTCGCCGAGCAAGAGCCTCATGGCGTGAGGCTGAACATCATTCGACTGTTATTCACGACCTCACCGCACGCAACAAACCCTCTACAGCTATTCTCCGGAACGCACCGAGAGCTGGGCATTTTCCTTTTCGTCATCTCAGGACAAAGTGATCGCCGAGCACGCGCGGGGAGACCGTTGCTTTTGTCACCGCCAACATGGGTTCCCTCAGGACTCTGTTCCTGAGCGTATATGCCTCGAATGGCATTATAAGGACGTTGTTTCTACCACTATGTTACCTCACACTATTCAGTCCATTCATACTTGTTCTAGCTTGGTACTTTGGTCTTGGTCAAACTCTTGAAAAAGCTATACCCGAAGACTTCTCCTGGTTCGATCTATTACCTACGTTTGCGATTTCGGCGGTCTTCGTGTTACTACCTACGAGGCTGCTATCAAGTTCGGGAAAAGTTGTCAAAAGCCAAGATGGGAAGAGACGGGTACAATCGCTGCCATACTGGATCCCGGGTGTACGTCATCTTTGGAGCATTGTTTTTGGAGGCGAGGAGTGGTTGAACGGCGTCCGGTAAGCGTGTTGATAATGCCCGTTGGGTTGATCTGACTGGCAATAGGGATTCTGCAACTGCAAGCATAGTGGCATACAAGGCAGCTGGGACCAAACACAACATCTTGCTTTCAGATTCCTTGCTTGGCCAGATCTATAAGAACTTGCATAGTTTGGAGCTGCCAGACAGCAGCCAACTCGCTATTCTCCGAAACACTTTCAACCTCCCGAAAGTAATGGAGAGCCATTATCTTGAGATTCAGAACGAAATCAATCAGGTCGTGGAGACGGAGCTATACAAAGGTGTGGCCGAGGAAGGATTGATCAAAGCATCGCTGCGCATATTAACCGAATCGCTTCCGGACTTCGTTACATTCAACTCATCTATTGTCGACCAGATGCAATGGGAGCGCGTCTCCAACGTGGAACTTACGGATGGCACCTCTGAGGCCGAATGTGATCTGTTCACACTGCTCAACGAATTTTGTTGCAATGCTATTTTACCCCCAATCGTCGGAGCACAGTTTACAGAGTCTTATCAACTGCTTACTACTGATCTGGCAAGTTGCAACGAACGATTTTGGGCTCTCGCTCTCGGGTTGCCGCGATTGACGCCTGTTCAGGGCTTGCCGGGAGCAGCTCTGGCAAGAAAGAGATTGTTGAAGAACTTTGCAAATCTGTTTACAGAGTTGACACATCCACCAGTAAGGAGGGTACCAGACGATGACGAGAGCGTGAGCGGAGAGGAAGACACGGACGCTGACGTAGTCACTCCCCTTATAAAGCTTAACGAGCTATTCACCAAACATGAACTACCAGCCGAGTTACGAGCTTCTATCGGTCTCCATCTAGTACATGGTATCTACTCAGACGTCATACCACTTGTATTCTGGACGCTTCTTCACATCTACTCGTCATCCAACGCGCAAGACGTAAAGGCTCCAGAAGGGTCACCTCTCGAGAATATCAAATCAGAATCCAAGACCTGGGCTCAAGCTGTACAACCCCCATCAATACATCCGTCTTTTCCGGCACCACCGGAAATTCGCTTCGGCTCAGTGAAGGAAGCGCTGACTTCAAGTTCTCTACCTTATCTTCGCTCATGCATCAACGAAGCTCGACGTCTACATACCTGTTCCGCCAGCACATACAGAGTCGAGAAGCCACTCCATCTACAGGAGGACGGTCCTGGTGGGAAGGAGCAATGGGAACTAGAAACGGGTACATATATCGACATGGGTCTCTCTCAATCACTCATAAACTCGTCGTCAGCATTTCATGCCTCCCCAGAAACGTTTCGACCCAACCGCTTTCTCAACACTCCCGTCTCGTCGTCTGTCTTATCGCCTGCCGATAGCTCTCAGTCCTACAAGACCGATCTCATCATCTCTATCGTATCAGGTGTCACCCAACTTTGGGAAATCGCGCCTGCGCCAAAGAAGAGCTTCTTCGATCACATCCAAGAAGCAGGTAATGAAGCGTCATTTGGTGCCGAGGCCCTTACTGCGGAGCAAAAGGCTGCTAAAGAGGAAGCGAATCGGGAGAAAGAGGATGCTAAGAGGAAAGAGGCCAGGTGGGTGTTTCCAAAAGCGGTTGATGGAGCGGTCACAAGGGTTCCTAAGGGGGATATCCGGGTCAGGATCAGAAGAAGGGAGGGTTTGCCTACTAGCAAGGTTGTGCGGAGGATTGGTTAGCGTTAAGACTGGGGCTTTCACCGGAGCCAACGTGCATGCATGACCAGCATACGGACGTACATAATAGCCGCACGATATGCGGCTGGCGGTGTCGAGAGAACTATATGGAAGACGTTGCGGAGCCGCGATAGTATGTGTCCGCGACTATTTGACCGGGGCACGGGCCGGTAAGGTAGCTACATGAATCGGACCGCTGTATATACGTACTCGCAAGCAAGCAAGCATCTAGGAAACAACAACATTGGACAAACCATCACCATCGACGATGAGAACGCATTCTGTCCCATGTTCGTGATCCACCCAGTCTTACAATTCACCCCAGCCCAAAGCCGAGCCTCTCCACCCAATATACCCACTTAACCTCAAGCTAAACTCTCTCCCACATCCCCATATCACATCCCTCGTACCTTCTACAGTTGCGATCGATCCCGATGTCCATTCTTTCGTACCGTGGTATCGCTACTTCGCAAATGCGCTGACGTCTCCTCCTCGTCAAAGTAGCGGTGAGGTGCCGCTCAACACCAACACACCACCAACGCTGAAACTTGAATCGTCTTCCCGCTTCCACGCGAAAGAGAAAACGCAAAGCCACATCATCATAACTGATCATCAGAGTCGAGACTCTTCGATGTACACGATAATGTATTGATTGTCACATTGGCATTTGTACACCGCAGGGCTATGAACGAAGTAGGACCGCAATGGGCGTTGGTGACCTGGTGTTCTGTTATCAGAGTTTAGAGTACAGATCGAAGTTTATAGCTTGGAGATCGTGATGGTGACTAGGGAGTACATCGGAGGTTGGAGACGTAGTCGGAGACTTTTGTGCATGGGTGTTTGGACGTTGGAAGGACGTTGTCGGAAGATGACCTCCGATCTTGGCTAGTTCTAGTGAAGTGCTCCAACCCCTGAACCTGAACGATTGTAGACCAGATGTTCGGACAGACCACGGGTTGCACGACGTCCAACGATATAATATGGCCTACTCCACAATTCTTCAACAGCAAGCACAACAGCTTCAGATCAGCCTTCCTAGCTCAGTGGTAGAGCGCGTCACTAGTAATGACGAGGTCGTCAGTTCAATTCTGGCGGAAGGCATTACTTTTTGTTCATATCACGGACGTAGCCTGTCCGAGGACAAGCATGAAAGTACTGTGCGGATAGTGGTGGTGTGAATCTCATCCGTCGAGGCATTCCTCGACTTGACTTTGAACATTTTTTTTTTTCAAATTTGTACCATGCCACTATACTCTCGCATGTTCACACTGCTCATAGAACACCATCTTCATGATCAAAGGGTGCCATAGCTCCACCCCAATTCTATAGATTTCACGATGCGCGAATGTTGACTGCAGCATCCAACGCACGATGTAGGCATGGTCACGACTGCAATCCAGTCGTCAGGATTGGACCGCCATACCACAGACACGATCAAGAACGCATGGCAGTAGGTATGAATTTGGAACTCATCAATGTCATTTCCATGATACTTTTCCCGCATGACCTGTTAACACCAGATGCGGATCGTACCCCATGCACGCCATCACTGCCGCGGGATCGCATCAAGGGCCATGTTTATCTTTCATTTGTAAACACAAACACCTTTGGAATGCCGATATCATGCCGCGGAAAGTTGAAAAGACCCAAGAACCCCTTGCCTATCCAACAAGACCTTAAACCTGCTCAAGGACGGTCTCCTTGAACTCACGCTCAACCTTCTGGCCAGAGTCATCCTGGCTTGACTCGCCGTGGAGACCGAGGAGGGCACCAAGGTCGAACTTGGGTGCCTTGAGGAGCTTGACCTTTCGTACGTGTACCTGTGTTACGTTAGCCTGTGTCATACACCGTTGTGCTGTAGACCACATACGTTCTGGAGAGGGTAGATGCCCTGGGTGGCCTTCTCGATCTCGCGACCGATGACCTCGGGGATGAGCTTCTGGGTAAGCTGGGCGAGGGTGCATGAGCTGGCGTCGCGGGCCATGATCTCAACCATCTTCTTGCGGATGGCCCTGATCTGGGACGACTGGGCGTATGTGGTCTTCTTGACCTGGTTCGGTCGTCGCTTGGTGAAGGCAATGCAGAAGAGGCGGAGGAGGTAGTCGTCGGTGGTCTTGACAACGACGTTGGCCTCGATGAGGGATTGCCACTTGCGGACGAGGGAGCGGAGCTTGTCGGAGGTGAAGTCGAGACCGTGGAAGTTGGTCAGGCAGTTCTTGCCCTGGACCTCGTCGACGCGGAGCTTGACCTTGCGGAAAGCGTGGTCCTCATCCTTCTGGAGATCGGCGAGCGAAACCTCGAATATCCGGCCCTTCAGAGCGTCGTTGGCGTTCTTGAGACCGGTGGTACGGTTGACGAGGGTCTTTCCGACACTACAAAGAGCGAAGAGTAAGCATTGAGTCCCCGTGTACAGCGCAGCGGGAATTCTTACTCTCGGACGGCGAAAGTTCCTGGGGCCTTGATGTTGTACCAGTCCTTCTTCGCGAAGGTGTCGGTCTTCTTCTTGAGACCCTTCTTTCCCTTTGAAAGACGCTTGTTCTTGCCGACAGCCATGATTGCGAGTCTTGTTGTCGGTAGTCGGGAGGGTGGTTGTCGCTGTCGATGTCAAAAGGCTGAGAGTCGCAAATTGGTGGTGTTCAAAATCCGTTAAGCGAGCCCAGTAGCGCATCACGTGTGCCAAGCCCCAAAATCGAGCGCGGTGATCAGCAACACCAACCTCCAATCGAATGCACATCATCTAGAAGATCCGTAGTGAACGGGTCCTTTCATGGCTGCTAAGCTGCTTGATCTCCTATGCGTCGCGATGCATGTGGAAATCCTGGAGTTGCGCCTTGCAAATTTGCAAGTAAACGTGTAAAGTGCGTGCGTGTTAATCATCACAGTAATGAACAGGGCACAGCAGAGAGAGGTGCTGCAGTTACATCATGGCAACGAAGCACTATCATAGTCGTCGTCGTCGTCGTCGTCGTCGTCGTCGCCGCCGCCATAGTATGGAGAACACATGGGGCACGACCAACTTCACGCCACAAATGCCTGGCAATGCAATGGAAACCAACAACATCGTTCACGGCAGGTCTCGGTCAAATCGGACACGTTGAGTAATGTACATGTGGTTACATTGTAGTGGCTCTAGATCCCTTTACAGTTCTTTCAGCTGTAACGAACAGACTAGACTACCCTTCGCACACGCTAGCGCCCCCATCCAAATTCGAGTCGCACTCATTCTCAGGTGTCCTCCAGGCAGTGCCAAGCATTCCACTCCATGTGGCAACAATGCGATCATGGCCGCAGCTGAATCGCTGCGTCTAGCATGACGAGACATACCCGCGCACACCACCCTCAATGATTCCTTCCCTCCTCTTTACATCTCGACATTTCACTGTCGTGACATAGATCTGCTGATCTGATCCCTGTTCATTCTCACTTTTGCTGACAGCAAAGACGATGCAGTGATAGTCAGATGGACTACCAGTCAAGCAGAAGATAGAATACTATCAACTTGCGATGCTCTGGGTCCAGATTACGGTACTTCAACTCATGGTAAGGAGCGTAAGCCTGGCTGGCGATTCGGTGATGGGGTTGGTGGGTGTTGTTGAAAAGACAAGTCCTTGTTGCATAACATCAAAGACTCATGCATGTCTGTTCATGTCCTGACATCAGATTGCTGCTGTTGCTCGCCATATGGATTCTGGTTTTGGCAAAACTTCTCAAAGTCAGGAAAGCTGATGTAGCCATCTAGAAGAATGTTAGCTTGTGCTGCTTCGTAGCAAGTGATTCGGTTCAGTGCTTACCCTGCTGCCTGTATTGCCTGACGTAGCGGTCACTTTCAGTCCTGGACATCGATGGCCTCTCAGAAGAATAGGCCGGTTCTGACTGCAGCCTCGACCGTGGAGTGAGCATTGGGCTTCCAGGTGGCGTCTCGCCTCGAGGTGTAGTAGGCGATGAGGCAACCTTAGCCAAGAGGATAGAGGCCTTGGTCGGGCTGCCCGATGTTGATGTGCCAGAATCCCGTCGAGAAGTTACAGGCACGAGTGTGGTGAGGCATGGCGAAGAAACAGTTGACGGTGTTAGAGGTGGCCGCCGACTTGCTGAGCGGGATCGTTGTGGCGCCTCGGTAGGTAGTGAGAAGTAGTATCGTGGGTGGCTAGACATGGCGAAGATGTGCGTCGATCGACAACGAGCGAATGTCAAAGTCGGAGAATTAACTGCGGTTTGGGAATTGAAGGATGACGGAGTGAGCGGGAGGGTAGTATAATAATGGTGTCCAAATCGCCTAGACGCTATTCACCCCATACTACCGAATGCACGTATGTATAGTGACGCCTCTGGCTGTTCCAGGCACCCTGGTCGACGCCAAGTGCATCAGCAGCCCGGAGCTCCCCACTCGACATCGCTGGCTTTTTGGGCTAGTTATGCATGCCGAAGTGGGTACCGCCAGAAAACGTGGACGTTCAGAATTAGTGTGTTTGCAAGGGAGGTGTGCTGTCATGCTTTGACTCGCCCTGACTCGCCCCTGGTGCACACAAGACCACCTCACGTCCATTTCTCTAGTCTGGTAGTCTGCTGCGAGCTGCTGCAGGTGTGAGTTGGCCACCGCCGACGACGAGGCGGATGACAGACCTGAAACACTTTGTTGTGATGAAGCAGACACTGGCATTGTACCTAGGTAGCCAATTCGGAAAGGTCGATTTCGCCTTGGAGTGCGCTTACGGTGTGGCAGGTCATTCGTGTCGGCCGTTCCTGATTGGCATCGCGCAACTCGATCCAAGGCCTCGCCGGAAGAGCGGGAGTGCACTGCCATAGCGGCGCCGTCGCATCCTCAAACCATGGCATCGGCGGATGCAAGCCGCCATCCCAATGAACATCCGTCATGGCTGCGCGGTGATGACAGAACCAGCTCTGCCTTGTTACTCGCCCTGGAAACTGGGCGAGCCTTCCTTGCTGTGTATCAGGAACGTTCGAGGGGCACACGTATGCTTATCCGTAGCCTAAGTTGTTATCGAGTTCCAGACACCTCTACAGACCACCCTGCGGTTTGTGCGACAATGAGACAGGTACCGGACCTGCAATGAGCCTCATTCATATCGGCCACTTTGCTGGTGACGACATTGCCTCAGCTGAGGTTTCTATTTATGCAGTGTCATGCAATGCAGATGACAATCCCTTGTCATTGAAAGTCGAGAACGTTGCACTTGCAAGGGCATCCTTCCAACGCCTTCGTGCGATCCGGTTGGAGCATAAAGACACGCGAGGACACCAACGCGTTCGACACCGGTCGCTATTACCCACAGCCCTTCGATAATGGTCTCTCGTGTTGTGGATGTCACATCGGTAAAGTCCCTCCGTTGCATAGCCATTGAGGGGGAGACGCGTACCCGACATTCTACCGCTTAGGGGTACACGAGGGGTCGCAAGTCGCAATATATCATTAATACTTGAGACAATCGCAATCAGAGTGATATCCCTTGCACAACTGAGCATTCACTCATGTAGCAACAAACAAAGGGAGTTGGCGATGCAATAGTGAACGATTGCGAGTATTTTCTGGGGATAATTTCGAGCCATCCTGCTATCCCCGGATCTGCCCCTCACACTTTTGACTTTGCAACTAGAATGCCACAAAACGTAACTCTGTCGGCAATGCTTATGTCTGACTTGGTTCTGGAACGATTGTTACCTCGTCTCGCTCCACCTCCGCGTCAGCTGCTCTCACATGTTGCCATGCTTTCCATGAAGAGCGGGCAACGCTCCGATTTGATAGTCCTCATCCCAACGATGCCTTCTCAGCTGGCCGCCTAACACCGGACGTTCAACAAAACGCTGATAAGGGACCATGCCATATCTCTTTAGAAGCACAGTGCGGCCCTTCTTGTATATACACGAGAGATCCCATAGGCAGACCAACAGTTCACCTGTCCGTCCAATTTGAGAGGCAGATGCAGGAGCCGAAAGTTGTCTAGCATCATGCCGTGCTGCCCAGTCCGTCATTGTGTACATGCGATGTGGTTAGCCATGCCGACGTGCATGTCAAACCCGGGAAGCGGGTACCCCTCCACGCCGTCATAGCCGCGGCCGTTTACAGCATCTTTCCAATTCCGCATCCTCATCGACGATAGATTCCCATGTACTCTTTTCGGACCGGGTACGATCAGCCACTACAACCAAAGTTCGCATACCTTAGCTTTCCATGTTCCGAAGAGAACTCCCAGGCGTTGGTGTTTTCGTGACGATGCCGGGCCCCTCCTCAACATGACCCCTCACCACCACACCATCAGCTCAGACATCTTTGCCCCAAGTAATTCTCCGCAAATCCAGACACGCTTCGACGGCAGATCTCGCTGCCGATCCCTCCCGAATACTGAAACATATACCCGCTCACCACCATGCCGAGTAATTGCAGCTTCCTCCTTCTCGAGCGAGCGAGTAGAGAAGCGCTTGTCACTGCGGCAACGCAGAAACGGTCGCCGACAATGTGACGGGTTTACCGCCACTATCCAGACTGCACCGCACTCCACTTTGTTATTTCTTACAACTGACCAACCAACCAAATGGCACATATTTCTTCCTTCCACACTCGGGCAAATAAGAACACAATCTTCCCGGTCCACCTTGCACGATGAACTAACAGAACTACGGCGACATCATGGCGAAAGCAAAATTATCCACCACATTAAACCTCCATTTCCCAGAACCTGAAACATACCAAGGCATCTTAGTGGACATGTATCCATTTACAAGTGAACACATCCTCGCACAATCAAAGAAGCGGTCTGCAATAATGGTAAACTAGAAGAAGAAAAAAACGTGTACCAACACCAGCGGTCAAACTTCATAGCTAGCGGGCCGCTCCCGGCAATCAATCGGTGTCCTTTGCTCCGTTCACATTACCCTACCGACCAAGCTACCCTATTCCCCCACTTTCCCTACACCACTCACACGTGCACACAGCCCACCCACAAAATCCGACATCTAGACCCTGGATTCTACGTACGCTTATCCACATAACTCGTGTAACACACCGGACGGTAGATCCTGATCCTACCGTAATGCCTTTTACATGCATACGGTATCTGTCACACGAGACCATGCGCGGTAGGTGCGGGTAGGGCTTCGCGCGGGTGTCAAAAAAACCAGGGGACAAGGGCGATAGGGACCAGGCATGCTTGTATAGTGACAGCGATCACAATAGCTAGTAAGGGGATCGTTTGCGCAGACTGGGCTTAGTGTTGTAGAGATGCAGAGATGATGTGGGCTTTTCTCACGTGCAGATGCGAGTATGACTGGAATGGTGAGGTGGATACTGGGTCTTGGTGGGGGAGGGGGATGTGTGCGGTGAACGGTGGGAGATTTGACAATGGGAACGCGATATGCGTGCGTTTGTTTAGGTGGATACGTGTGCTGAGGGGGCTTGACAGTAAGCGATTGGTTGGAAGAAGGTGTTGTTCGCTTGTATGTTGTAGATTGAGCGTAAGCCTGGTGATTACTGTTTGAGTATGAAGGTGATGTAGATGATAGCAACGAATAGTCATGGTTTTGGGTTGCTATATTGCACC